GACTCTGGTGCCCCCCAGCCCAGGGCTGTGGACGATCCCAGGTGGAGACTGTGACCATCTCACACAGTCCTGTGTCTGATCCCTGGATCTTCTGGGATCAACTGCCCAGAGAGAAGGCCAAGGTGCCTCTCCTTCCTCATTTATCTGCAAAAGGGTGACGTTCATGGGCAGCAATGCCTGTGTGGTCAGAGTTCACGCAGGAGTCCTTGGCAGAGTTAGTGAGTGAGATGCCTTCAGAGTTATGAACATATTTTAAGCCCAGAGACTTCCTGAAAGGATGTGTTAGTAGAACCACAGGTCAAAAGAAATTTTATTTAAAAACATATCAAGTCTATGCTCAGCTAGTCATTTTGTGTAAACACTCCCTTAATGCACACTGGAGGTGCAGCCCTTCATAGTGTTTGCATTTACGAATATTCTGATGCTCCTTTTGGGCATTTTCCTCACTTTGAGACTCAATCGGGAACATTTTCCCAACACCATCACGCTACTTTCAGCTTTGACTTTTGCCCCATGGTCATCAACTATCTCTAACCCCGGGATGTCTTTTACACACCATTGAAGTTTTAATGCCTGCATTTAAAGGGTAGCTTCATGGCTTGTGTCCAAATGCAGCATTTCTCTACTAAAGACTGGCTCTGGGGTGGCATTTCTCTACTAAAGACTGGCTCTGGGGTACCTAACACCAGACAGTATCCGGAGCTGCCTGGAGTGGCTACAGTGACTCATTTGCATCTGCCTCAAGGCAACCGTTCTGCACATTGGGTGGGGGTGCTGCTCAAGTACCGCAGCTCTGGCCATAAATTTCCATACAAGAGGCGATTCAGATGATGCCCTTAAATCAACTCCTCTGCAGAGTCTTTGCTATTCTTTTAAAAGCAACCTAGATGCCCATCAGCAGACGAATGGATGAGGAAACTGTGGTACATATACACCATGGAGTATTACTCAGCCATTAAAAAGAATTCATTTGAATCAGTTCTAATGAGATGGATGAAACTGGAGCCCATTATACAGAGCGAAGTAAGCCAGAAAGATAAAGACCATTACAGTATACTAACACATATATATGGAATTTAGAAAGATGGTAACGATAACCCTATATGCAAAACAGAAAAAGAGACTCAGATGTATAGAACAGACTTGTGGACTCTGGGAGAAGGCGAGGGTGGGATGTTTCAAGAGAACAGCATTGAAACATGTATATTATCTAGGGTGAAACAGATCACCAGCCCAGGTTGGGTACATGAGACAAGTGCTCGGGCCTGGTGCACTGGGAAGACCCAGAGGGATCAGGTGGAGAGGGAGGTGGGAGGGGGGACCGGGATGGGGAATACATGTAAATCCATGGCTGATTCATTTCAATGTATGACAAAAACCACTGCAATGAGACAAGTGCTCGGGCCTGGTGCACTGGGAAGACCCAGAGGGATCAGGTGGAGAGGGAGGTGGGAGGGGGGATCGGGATGGGGAATTCATGTAAATCCACGGCTGATTCATGTCAATGTATGACAAAAACCACTGCAATGTTGTAAAGTAATTAGCCTCCAACTAATAAAAATAAAAATTAAAAAAAAAAGTGATTGCATGTCCAGTGTGTCCATTCTCTCATGGTGTATCTGGAGATGTCTGTTGATACAACAGAGCTAATATTGATGAATGTTTGATTACCCACTAGTGAACTATCTATAGTAGATGCCAGAAAGCCTTTCTGACTTCCTTACTTCTCTGATCAGTGGTTGTGAAACGAGAGAAAGTACAATAATACTTACTTTGACCTCAGAAATGCACAAAAGGGGAAATGAAATATTGCACAGGGCATGACCATGTAGGGTAAAAATATTCGCAGCCTGGGCACTATTTTGGAATCTATTTCTGCTGCTCTCCCTATTGGGATCACTAATAATAAGTGGTTGGTAACTGATTTAAGGACATTTTGTAACTCAATAAATACTGAACCAAGGCATTCAGGTTATTCGTTTTGAAATGACAAAATCAGAGAAGACATGTTGCTATAATCTTTGCTTCTTTGCTCTTTTGGATGTTGGAAAACAGTGAGTGAGGTGTATTATCCCTGCCCGATTGCCTCTCTGAAATGCTGAAGCATCAGCAGTGGTTTTTTAATGACTCTATCCTATGCTCTTTTAAAAATAAACTTATTTTAAAGATGAATTATACATTTTAGCAGGTGGAAGAAGGTTTTATTCAACTTTAATATGGTTTTATTAGTGGAAATTTCATATCAGAAGCAACAGGAATAGAGACCTGTTCTCTTTTGAAAATATAGTCCCCATAGCAAAATGACTGAGAGCCCCATAAAAAGTTAATTTGGAGCCTGACACCAATTGTTCAGTTCCCAGAAAAACTCANTATTGACTGTAGTTCCCTATGCTATACAGTAAACTTTTGTTGCTTGTTGCATATATATGTTTTTAAAATTAGAAATCTAGCATTTTATTCAAACATTTACAAGTAGCGTTTAACAAAGAGAATTAGAATGTCATAAAATTTTTAGTTAGGGAAAAATTCATAAGCTTTCTAAAACATATACGTTATACATGCTATTTATGTATAGAAAAGTTTTTTCTCCTGTGCCTAATAAAGGCTTGAGAAAGAACATCAAAAAAAGAAGAGATGGAGAAATTGGAAAACATAAATGAAATGAAATGGCAGCACTGAATATGAAATAGAAAAAGTGAAACAAGCTAGATAAAAAGTAAAAGATCATCATATAGTCCAGTTGTTTTTAAACATGGCTGCTCATTAGAAACATATCTGGAGCTTTGGAGAAAAAAAGCAAATACCTGGGCATTTGTATTTTTCAAAAAATTCCAAGATAATTTTGATATGCATCTGGATTTTTAAAAGTGATTACAGGTTTTTCTATTAATAACCATCACTTTAATGGGGTTTCAGAAAAGATGTTCAGCCTGCCACATTTAACCAGAAGTGTCCGTGTACTGTAACTGTGAGTAGTATTGGTCTTTTTTTTTGTTTGGTGTTCTACTTCAGTCCGGAGAAGGCGATGGCAGCCCACTCCAGTACTCTTGCCTGGAAAATCCCATGGACGGAGGATCCTGGTGGGCTGCAGTCCATGGGGTCTCGAAGAGTCGGACATGACTGAGTGACCTCACTTTCACTTTTCACTTTCATGCACTGGAGAAGGAAGTGGCACCCCACTCCAGTGTTCTTGCCTGGAGAGTCCCAGGGACGGGGGAGCCTGGTGGGCTGCCGTCTGTGGGGTCGCACAGAGTCGGACACGACTGAGGCGACTCAGCAGCAGCAGCAGCTACCTCAGCAACATTCATCTCCATACTTGTTCCTTTTTGTCCCTGATTATCTATTGTCTAATGCTTGTAATTTCTCTCTTTCTCTTCTGCAGTCACTGTGATTATCTCAAGCCTTTCCTTTGTCATTAATTCTGTTTTCAGTTCTTCTGGTATGCTGTTGTTTCGGTCTTTGTTTTCTTAGCTCTGCAATTTTCCTTTTTTACCTAATTCTGTTTTGCCCTCAACTTTGCACTTTTTGTTTTCTTGAATTCATGTTTTTATGTTTTAGAGTATAAAGCAAATTCTGGGATTTGGGGGGGGTTATTTAATTAATTATAGTTAATTGATTTTGATTAATTTAATTTTCTTGTGTGCTGTGTTCTTTTATCATTCATCTGATTTCCTGTAGTATTTTTTGCTCTATTGCTATGCCATTTCTTCTTGACTTGTTCGTGCTTGATGTGTTCTAGTCAAACCTCCTTTTGTTATGCTGCAGTCAAAGCGAATGATTTCTTTACCGTCTTTCTGCTATCTGAGTCGTGTTTGCTTGCCCTTTCAAGGTTGGCTTGGAGCCTGGGCATTGGAAGATGGGGCAGCATGAGAAGGCTCAGCTTGGCCTTGTGTAGCCTCTGAGTGACTTGGTTAAATGTCCTGTATCGAGTTCACGCCCCAACTGAAGGAGGGCATTCTCTTTCCTGCCTGTGGGTTTTAGGTCTGTCCCCTACCTGACCTTGGGGTCGTAGGGCTTCCACTTCTGCTGGAGACAGTCACCTTGGTTGATCNGTTATTTTCAGAGGCAACAGGAAATACGAGATAAACAAAGCCAATCGGGTTTTTAATTTACAAGAGGTTGGTATCTGGTCCTATTGATGATTCATTTATTAAGTCTTGTTACACTCACCCTGTCTCCAGCACAACATACTCTTTTTTTTTTAAGTTTTATTTTATATTGGGGTATAGCCGATTAACAATGTTGTGATAGTTTTGGGTAACCAGCCAAGGCACTCAGCCATACACACACACACATACACATTCTCCCCCAAACTCCCCTCCCATCCAGACTGCCACATAGCATCGAGCAGTGTTCCGTGTGCTGTACGGCGGGTCTTCGCTTGTTATCCCTTAAAATATAGCAGTGTGCATACATACATTCCAAACTCCCTGACTATCCCTTCCCCCAGCTCTTCCCCCCTCCAACCCTGGTCAACCGTAAGTTCATTCCAGCAAACCATATTCTGTTCTTCCTTGCGTAAAAAAACTTTTCTCTTTGTTTTGTAATGGTTTTGATTGAGGTATAATTTATAAACCAAAAAAAAAAAAACCTGTATATGGTTAATATGTACAATTTGATGAGTTTGGACATATATACGCACTGTGAAGTCATCACCCCCAGGAAGGTAATAAATATAATCACTGAAACAAAGTTTGTGTGCAATTGGTAAGAATGAAGTTGAAAAGATAGTTAACAGAAGGACTGCTAGAGAAGAATGCCTAGAGAATACCAGGAATCGATTTCAGCCGGTTGAGAGTAGGCTATAGTGCATCGGGGGAGGGCGCAGAAAGAGGGCTGTTACCATAGCAGGGAATTTCAGGTCTCTTTCTCTCAAGGCGGAGCCGTCCTGGGTAAGACCTCTGAGGTGTGGCCGAGCCATCTGAAGACCATAAACATCTGGGGGTAGTTACCAGGGGAGTTGATGCTGCGTCACTGGTGATGCATAACGGCGGAGGTGCTGGTAACTCATGCTGGCGAGGGATGAGAGGCAGCCAAGAAGCAGATCCCCAAACAAGAGAGGAGCCGTGAGTAATCCACAGGGCTTCGCAGGTGGTGCTAGTGCTAAAGAAGCTGCCCGCCAATGCAGGAGACGCAAGAGACGCGGGTTCGACCCCCGAGTCAGGAAGAGCCCCTGGAAGAGGAAATGGTAACCCACTCCAGTATTCTTGCCTGAAAAATCCCAGGACAGAGGAGCCCGGGGGGGCTACAGTCCGTGGGGCCGCCAAGAATCGGATACGACTGAGCTTGCGCACAAACACAAGCGCCGGCCCCGCGGGAGAGAAAAGAGGGCGTCGTCCTGCGACCTGGGATTTCCAAGAGACAAGTGGGAAAGATGAGGCCATGTGCTGACACTGCTCCCCGGCAGCAGGAGGAAGAAACTTCCCCTCCTTCCTCCGCGTGGGGGAAGCGGTCAGCTGGGAAGGCGGGAGCCAGCGGACTCTGGCGCTATGGCTGAGGGCGCGGTCTAGGGAGGGCCAGGGGTTTCCGGAGCTTTCCAGAGCATAGAGTGCGGGGCGTAGGGAGGCGTGGGGACCCCAGAAGTAGGTGACCTAGAGAGGGGAGGGGCGGGAAGAGGCGGCTGTAAGAACCCTAACTGAGGCAGGCAGCCTTATTCCTGATCCCGAGGGAGACAGCCGGGAGACAGACAAGGGGCTGAAACCAGCCCAAGGTCTCACTAATTGCAGCCAGATTTTTTGTTCAAATGTCATATCTACTTCTGGACTCCTTTCAAGAAACCAGTAGACTGTTCTGTTTTTCTAAATTGTGGTGATGGCCCGAAATCTTTCCCAGATGGAAGACAACACCTAGAAATGATGCTGGAGCTGAAGCTTCAGTGCTTTGGCCACCTGAGGCGCAGAGCTGACTCACTGGGAAAGACCCTGACGCTGGAAAAGATTGAAGGTGGGAGAAGTGGACGACCGAGGATGAGATGGTTGGATGGCATCACCGACTCGATGGACACGACTTTGAGCAAACTGGGAGATAGTGAAGGACAGGGAAGCCTGGTGTGCTGAAATCCGTGTGGTCACAAAGAGTCGGACGTGACCGAGTGACTAAACAATACAAGAATATCCTCTTGAACACTGGAGATCGTACCTATGTTTCTAAAGAGAGATTTGGGCTTTCTGTATAGTTTTTATTCTAAGACTTAAAAGTATTACATTGATCTATCAAGATGCTAGAAAATAAGTTGAGAGATTTTAGGCCTGTTTTACACAATAAAGTACATAGAGGGTTGGAAACTTTTCCATATAAGGTAAAATAGTATGCAGGTCTCGACTGACATTTTGAGACATTTGTAAGAGATTGTCATTGCTTTTGCCTTTAACTGGTTGTTCTTTAAGATTTTATCATAAGTGTTATAAAACTTGACGGCTTGTATTAAAAATCTCAATTTTTAAAAATTAAAAATTTTAAAAATTAAAAATCTCAATTCAGAAATTACAAAATATTGTGGACTTGGCACTATTGATCAATAAACCAAAACGATCAAGCTCAGACATCAGAATTTAAATATCTTACCTTGTTTTCCATTCTAGCAATTGAGTCAAGCTATGGAAAACAGTCTTATTGTTTTCATTTAAACTTTCAAATATCATCAACTCCTGGTAGAAAACTGCTAAGCAAATTAGTCTGCCAGTTCTAGGGATATGCCAAAACAGATGTTGGCATTTTCTTATTATATAAACAACAATTCTAATGTGTTTTTATAGCTTTTCTCTTTCCTTTTTTCTTTCAAATTTGCCGGTTGTGGTTTTGTTTTTTTTAATTAGAGTATAGTTGCTTTAGAATATTGTGTTCGTTTCTTTAAAATGTTGCGTTAGTTTCTGTTGTACAAGAAGTGAATCAGCTATATGTATACATATCTCCCCTCGCTCTTGGACCCCCCTGTTCCCCCCAACCCATCATCTAGGTCCTCACAGAGTGCTAGTCATCACAGAGCACCTGTGCTATGCTTCGGGTTCCCAGCAGCTATGTATTTTACATATGGTAATATATATGTCCATCTCCCAGTTCATTTCGCCTTCCTTTCCCCACTGTGTCCGCATATCCATTCTCTATGTCTGTGTCTCTATTCTGGCGCTGCAAATAGGTTCATCTGTACCGCTTTTCTAGATGCCACAGATATGCATTACTATATGGACTTTAAGGGTGCTTGATGGGAAACTGGGCTTACCAGGTGATTCAGTGGTAAAGAATCTGCCCACCAATGCAGGAGACCCAGGAGATGTGAGTTCTATCCCTGGGTCTGGAAGATCCCCTTGAGGAGGAATTGGCAACCCACTCCAGTATTCTCACCTGGAAAGTCCTATGGACATGGGAGTCTGGCAGGCCAGAGTCCTTGGGCCTGCCTCACAGAGTCAGGTATGACTGAGCACACATGCATGTGCAACATGAAATTATCCTCCTTTGGGGCTTTGACCAGGTGAAGGACAATAAAGCAAGATGGTGCTGGTCCTGGTAGGCAGGGGAAGGGATGGTAAGGGACTCTGAGATGATAGCAGGTGGGAGCTGATGGGCGTACAGCAGAGACATCCAGAGAACTCCCCAAGCCAAGGGCTCCTAGACGCCAAGTTGGCTCTACAGTGCTCCCCACTGACCATTTTAGGGATTAGCTACTCCTTAAACGTCACAGTTTGTGGTCTTTCCCACACTAGCCCTGCCTCCCACCATCCTTGCCTCTTCTCTCTTTCCCCTTCTCTTTGCTCTTCCTCTGGACAGCTGGATTCTGTGGTTAAGTGAATGGATTCATTTGCATTAGGTTAGTGTACTCCTTTTCCTATTTGGAACCAGTCTGTTGTTCCATGTCCAGTTTTAACTGTTGCTTCCTGACCTGCATACAGGTTTCTCAAGAGGTGAGTCAGATGGTCTGGTATTCCCATCTCTTTCAGAATTTTCCACAGTTTATTGTGATCCACAAAGTCAAAGACTTTAGCATAGTCAATAAAGCAGAAATAGATGTTTTTCTGGAACTCTCTTGTTTTTTCAATGATCCAGCGGATGTTGGCAATTTGATCTCTGGATCCTCTGCCTTTTCTAAAACCAGCTTAAACATCACAATTCACATATTGCTGAAGCCTGGCTTGCAGAATTTTGAGCATTACTTTACAAGCGTATGAGATGAGTGCAATTGTGTGGTAGTTTGAGCATTCTTTGGAATTGCCTTTCTTAGGGATGGGAATGAAAACTGACCTTTTCCAGTTCTGTGGCCACTGCTGAGTTTTCCAATTTTGCTGGCATATTGAGTGCAGCATTTTCACAGCATCATCTTTCAGGATTTGCAATAGCTCAACTGGAATTCCATCACCTCCACTAGCTTTGTTCGTACTGATGCTTTCTAAGGCCCACTTGACTTCTGCTGCAAGAAGATCCAAACAGTCCATCCTAAAGGAGATCAGTCCTGGGTGGGATTGGTGTTGGAGCTGAAACTCCAATACTTTGGCCACCTCATGTGAAGAGTTGACTCATTGGAAAAGACCCTAATGCTGGGAAGGACTGGGGGTAGGAGGAGAAGGGGACGACAGAGGATGAGATGGTTGGATGGCATTATCGACTCAATGACATGGATTTGAGCAAACTCTGGGAGATGGTGATGGACAAGGAGGCCTGGCAGGCTGCAGTTCACAGGGTCAAAAAGGGTTGGACACAACCGAGTGACTGAACAACAACATTGATTAGGACACTAACCTGAGCCTCCTTCTCTTGATGCTTCAGCCCTGGACACCGGCTCTTTCTAGGGCAACCTAGTGTGCGTACATGTCCTTGCCTTTCCTGGGTCTTCTCCAGCTGTAATAGCACAACATGGACGGAATCCATGATGCTGACCCTGTCACTGTTGCATGGTCTTCATCTCCACCCACACCTGTCCTCAGGGCAGCTCCACATGAAGTTACTGCCCTTTGGACATGTCTGTGTGATGTATAGGCCATGAGAGAGCTAATTTGAACTTTTCTTGATGGATATTTCCCAATTTAATAGCTCCTGGTGCTTAAGTTTCTAGAGTGAAATGTGAACTTGATGTCTTTGGATAAAAAATTGAATGGGGCTTTAATGTCACCCTAGGATGGAACCTCATTACTGCAGATACAATCAGGCTTAAGGGCAGAGATGTGAAATGTCAGCTCTTATGCTGGGGTGACCAGATGTCCATCTAGAGTACAGATGTTCTTTCATGAATAAACTCTAAAGACCGACACAGATGTCCTGGTAATTATTCTACAGACCCTGACAAAAGGCATCCAAAGATGTCGCTGACCAATTTAGTATGAGAATAAAAATTCAATGAGGAGTGAAATGCTAAAAAAAAAAAGAAAGAGAAAAAAAATCTTAAATGAGCATGAATCCAGTGGACACGGTTAGAATTGAAGTCTAATGTCAGGAGGAACAAGAGGAAAAAAGGGACAAACAAAACAAAGTAAATCCTTAGCCAATAGAGACTGAATGAAAACAGGAAAAATAGAGAATGCCAACTTTTTGCAATATTAATCCATCACAGAACTTTTGAAGTTGACGTAGCAGTGGCTGAAGGAAGCTCAGGAGACGTAATTTATTTAGATGTGCACCATTTCCTTGGAGAAGGAAATGGCAACCCACTCCAGTATTCTCGCCTGGAAAATCCCATGGACAGAGACGCCTGGTAGGCTACAGTCCATGGGGTTGCAAAGAGTCGGACATGGCTGAGCGACTTCACTCCCTCACTCACTCAGCATTTCCTAAATGGGAAGGGCTTTTGCCAAGTGGCTCACGAGAGGCTGAGGAAGACGTGGTTCATAAAGAGATAAGAGTAGCTGTCTGTGAGCGGGACAAAGGGTCTGAGTGAACAACCAGTTCCTAAGAAGGTGAACAGTGAGAGTTCTCTGGGGTTGTCCTGATGGATGGCGTCAATGCATTTTTTAACGACTTAGGAGAAGGGACAGGCTTTATCATGGTCAAGTCAGCTGATAGCAAGCAGTGTTTCAGAAAGAAGGGACCAAAGGGAAGAACAGAGTGGGCACCTAGATCCCAGCGTGTCGTAATCCAGGGA